TGTTAAATTTTTCAGAAGGGGGTGGTTTTTCAAGAAAATATACACCCTTGTGTGGGGGGGATATAAGTTGAATACTAATAAATATATTCATTTTCCTATTTCCTACATCATGATTCCCGCAAACACATAGCATTGGAATCTCCGGATCCAGATTACTGAACACTTTCCTCAGGTCGGATTCTTGGCCAGCTCTTAAAAAGGGACTGTTCATGTAATTTCAAGTGATCTTTTATTAAAAAAAAGGCATGCACGATTCACTACCTCAACCTTAAACACAGTGCTTAGGATCCATTTAATTTTGATGCGGATCCGGATCCTGGATCCGCACTAGAAAAAATGGACCCGAATCCGGATCCAGGTCATTTCTTTAAGATTTACTGAATTTTCTCAACAAAAAATAATTTTCAAATTTTTTGTTTTATTTTTTCGCTTATATTTATCCTAAACCATTCAGAAATGAGGAAAGGAAAGTTCAGATTTGGGTTTTAGGAGTAAAAAAAGTTGTTTTTGCAGTTTTTGGTTGATATTTTACCCCTTGGATCCGGATCCGAATCCTAAGCACATTAATTTTGATATTGTGGAAGATATTGACGTATTTCTAGCTTGAAAAGTGTTAAAGTCTCCTTAAAACCTCAATTGTTTCTGTTGCAAGAAATCCGCAATTAACTTTTATCAAGAGAATTCATTGATATCTTATTCATTATTGATCAGGAAGCTTAAAGGGAGTGACCGGCTATGTAAGGTAGTTAAACTGACTATGCAGTGTTGTTGTTATTGTAAAAAAGACTAATTCTGAAAACGTATCCACCCCCAAAGTAGGAGTTTTGAACATCGAATTTGCGCTCAAACTCAGGATTTACAGATTCTTTAAAAGTTTAATATGTCTCAAATGAATCCGGAAGAAGTTTTCCACAAGACTGCATACTCAGTTCAACTACCTTACATAGCCGGTCACTCCCTTTAAAGGTATTGTTGAATATCGTACATACCACTCTAAAAATTAAGTCACTTGAAATTACGCCTACAGTCCCTTCAGGTAATTAGACATAATTTCTACGGAACAAACTTCTTCAACTTAACAATATGTTGTTTTTGTAGAGAAATGTGTATACCCGCACCCAGGGGTGTATTCAGGGGGGGGGGCTATGGGGGCTATGCCCCCCTGGACCAGTGAAATCTATTGATTTTAGGGGGTTTTCAGGCCCCGACGGGTGCTGAGCCCCCCCTCCCCTTGATAAAAAAACCTTAAAAATATTCTTGTCCCTATTTCCCACATCGCAGTTCCCACAAACACAGATCATTGGAATCTCTGGATCCAGATTACTGTAGACTCTCTTCAGATCCACTTCTTGGCGGGCTCTTGAGAATTTATTTTATTTCGAGCATGGTTAATCTTGCTCACTTGATCTCGGTATCCAATATGGACAATTTTAAATTTGAGGATAAATAATATAATTTGTAATATCCAAGAGGAATTAAATTAATTCGTAAGATGGAGACTAATGCCTAATCCCAAGATTCATAATACAAAAGTTCATATAAATTCCTCGTCTAAACAAAATGACTTTTTTAGTAGTTATATTGACTAGAATTGGGAGACTACTCGAGTATTCTTCCTTATTTTGACCTCGAGGTCATAGTGTACACTATACACATCATGCAAGTGTAAACTATGACCTCGAGGTCATAGTGTACACTGTACACATCTTGCAATTAAGTGTATACTCTCGAGGTCATAGTGTACACTATACACATCATGCAAGTGTAAACTATGACCTCGAGGTCATAGTGTACACTGTACACATCATGCAAGTGTATACTCTCGAGGTCATAGTGTACACTATAAACATCTTGCAAGTGTATATTCTCGATTTCCAGGAACTTTATTTCCCGGTATAAAACTAAGAATACCTAGGTAATCAGGGGTGTACAGGTGTGTAGAGGGGGAATTTTGTGCCCCCCCCCAATCTCTTGATCAGGCAAATGTTTTAATGTTACCATTGTGAATCGGACATGCTCTAAATATTCAGTTACAGGATGTCCCACATCATATTAAACCGAGAACGGGTCTAAATTACGATTTTCGCGACTAATTAGAAAATTTCATTAGAATGAATCATTTTGAAAAATAACATAAGGCTTATATAAGAATTTTCTTGCGGAAAATGATAAGTTTTTCGAGTATTAAGGGTTTATTTTGGTGTTAAAGATTGGAGATAATCTAATATGATATGGGAACGCTCTGTACTTTAAATCATGTCTACAGTGCCTTGAGAGTTCATTTGTTAAATGTTTTGTATAGAAGGCTCGAATTGGGGGGTTGGGGGGGATTTTCAACCAAATAAGTGTATTCTCACCGAATTTCCGGATACTGGTCCGGAAACGCGTCGACTAGGTCGCCACAGACGATGAAAAACGCCGGCTTTGGTTCCATCCGGTTCATTACTTCGACAGATTGTCGACACAATTCAATCTCCTTATCCCAATTCGACTCGGGGTATGGTACGCCATCCTAAAAAACGTGAATTCATTTTACAAATCTGTCTAAAAATAATTAGATAATAAATTTAAAACTTGAGCCAAAAAAATCTAAAAATGTTTGTAACAATAATTTGTTTTTATAATTTTATATTTTATACTAGGAAACAACAAAAATTAAACAATAAACAGTTTATAAAAAAAAACAAGACTTTTCAAGACTGATAAAGTAAATTACAGAGACCTTAAAGAATGACGTGTCTAATTCACAACGGTACCTCTGGCCCCTTTATCTGATTAATAATGTTAAAAATTAAGTAATTTTCTTACTTGAAATGTGTCAAATTCTGAAAATCGCCTCCATATTCGTTCAATGCATTTAATACTTCATGGAGAACCACAATTGAAAATAATCATCTTTTAAGAGAGAAGATGATTGAAGTCTCATTCATTCTTATTCAAACAAACTTTTTAAAGAACTATTACGAATCAGATATGCCGCTCTATAAATAGAACAGCATTTAAAATGATGTCTACAGTTAGGTATGTTTTTAAAGGGTTTTATGAATATGGCTTTAGATGTTAAATTTTTCAGAATGATATATTTTTTGATATTTTATAATTTTTACATATTTCTAATGGTAGAAGAAGAAGCTGCAATTTTACACTTTTCCCTCAGATCCTATTTCTTAAAAATATACACCCCTGCTTACCGTCCCGTCCGTCCCCCAGTTGTACATGAGCCCCAGCTGTGTATCTGCAGCTTGTATAAAGAAGAAAGGATCTTTCCAGCTCAAATTATTCTCCATTAAAAACCGTTTATCCTAGAAAATTGAAATAAAAATTTTCAGATTTTAAACATCTAATCTTAAACTACGGTTAAAAGCTCTTGCTTATAGTCCAAAATTTAGAAATAATTTGAGTCTGGTTCTAGAGACCGCTTTTAGAATAACCA